ACCATTTTTGTAAGTTTTTGATTTCCTTCCTTTTTATGGGATTTGCAGAACTGTCTTAGAACGTGGTCACATTGTAATTATGCTGTTTTTCAAGAAGGGGATTTTGCTTTAAGCCATCTGAGAGTCACTTAAATTACATAGCTTTTTCTGTTATATAGCATAAATTAAAATAATAAACTAAAAGAGGAATGATTAGTGACTTTCAGAGTGCAGGTTTAGAGTAGTCAGGTAAACACAGTATACCAGAATCTGTTAACAGGTAGTCTCTTAGCATGTTAGTGTACAATTTGAGGACTAAAAGTTAAACAGAAAACTGCTGTCTGTATTTATTGCATTCCTTGCCTTTTAATGTGACTTGTGGAAATGTAAATTTGTGTACAGAGGGGCAAAAATCTTTCCATGGGAACTGATGCTCTCTTAAAATAGATTTGCCCCATAGCATTCCAGTACTGTAGGCTGGCAGCATATTTAAAAAAAAAAAAAAGGAGGGAAAAATGCATCTCTTGCCACTTCACAGGGAAGTGTCTCTTCATGTCTGGTCTAAGTAATGAACAGCTGAACCATATGGATGACCATACTTTACCACATAAATATGGGATTGGATTTACAAACATGGTGGAAAGAACAACACCTGGAAGCAAAGACCTCTCCAGGTAGGATAACAGAGGAAAATATCACACCTGTTAATCAAGTAACAGTTATGATTGTAATTTTGAGTACTGTTTTTCATTTTTTCTCTTTTAGCAAAGAGTTTCGGGAAGGAGGGCGAATTCTGGTGCAGAAATTGCAAAAGTATAAACCTCGTATAGCAGCTTTTAATGGAAAATGTGAGAACCTTTAGTTTGAATGAATTTGGTTGGTCAGTTGTTTTTTTTCTGTCAATTTACTCTGTATTCATTTCAATTTAGGTATTTATGAAATTTTCAGTAAAGAAGTTTTTGGAATAAAAGTTAAAAAATTGGAATTTGGATTGCAGCCTCACAAGGTGCCAGATACAGAAACTGTAAGTATTGATGCAGGGGAACAAAAACAGAGCGCTCTTATTTTGCTCATTTCAAACCTAATCAAATCTCAGGACTTGCACCCGCTTACAGCAAAGGCAGAGTTGGCCCAAAGTGTAAAGTGGGACTGGTCAATTTTCAAGCACTTCCTTAAGACACCTCCTTGCGTTCAGGAGTCTGTGCATTCAGCACATACCTACCCGTAGAAGGTATCTGAAGAGCTCTATCTAAATCTATCTAAATCATCCCAAAGAGATTTGTTTAATCCGTTTTATAAATCTCCAACAAACAGTGAAAACTGTGATAGCTTCAGCAGTTGGTATCAGCCTCTCTCTTTAGGGCAAGATGCTCTGCAGTTTTCTTTAGTCCTTCCCATAATGACCGTGAGCATTAATTGATGTTTGTATAAGATAACTTCACAGTTAAACTCATGTTATTCTCAATGCAGTAAATATTTGTTGGTAGTTCAGGGACTTATAGTGCTGTTTTTCTTGCTCTTTGCCTCCAGCTCTGCTATGTTATGCCATCATCCAGTGCAAGATGTGCTCAGTTTCCTCGTGCACAAGATAAAGTTCATTATTATATAAAGCTGAAAGACTTAAGGGATCAGCTGAAAGGCATTGCACCAAACACAGAGGTGCAGGAGGTGCAGTACACGTTTGACTTGCAACTTGCACAAGGTATAGTGATTGTTTTGTTAATCTGTCCTTAAAATGTAGCATTTTGTGCAACACACACAGCATTGCTCTAGCACTCACTTGAGCAAAAAGAAATAAAGAATTTAAGGACAAAAAGAAAGCATGTCCTAAATCATGTGGTGTGTATAACTATATTCCATGCTCTGCTTAATATAACTCATTATCTAGGGAAACCAGAATTATCTTTTGAATAGAATTAAAATATGTGGGATTTTGTTGGTGATTTGTTTGTTTTGTTTTTAACAAGGATTCTCTGATAAAAATGTTCTTGGGTATTTTTCTTCAAAATATTAATACTTGAGGTCTCCTCTTTGTGCAGAGGATGCTAAAAAGATGGCCGTCAAAGAAGAAAAATATGATCCAGGCTACGAAGCAGCCTATGGAGGAGCTTACTGCGATCATGCAATATATGAAAATGAACAGTGCAATTTTTCTTCAAATGGAACTGGTAAAGAGCATTCAGTTTGGAAACCTGCATTACATATGAATGTCCACTTAGTTTCCTTCCCTCTCTGCAACTTCCGTAATTTGGACAAAATATTTGAAGTAATATTTGAAGTATAGCGGTATTTAAACTGTTACATAATTGAGGGAATTGATAGCTTTTTGGGAAAGGGAAATACGAAAAAGCCACTTACTCTTATTTAAATACAAAAATAAATTATTTGCACCCTCAGGCTTTGATTCCCAAATTTGGACTTTCAGTCAGCTTGCTGAAATCTGACAGACGGAATTATTGACTTAAAGAGTAAACATTTTGATTACAGTGAGTTTTGCATAAACATACAGTGCTGTTCAGAACAAAACTGATAGTTGCTACTTTAACGTTTTCTTTCCTAACGAAATCAAAACCAGAGAATAGTGGAACAGGAAAAATCACAGTAGACTTGAGGTTGTTGCATCACTAGCAGGGCAAGTAAGGGAGGAATGTATCGGAATGCTGTAACTCACATAGTGTCTGCTAGGTGTTTCATGGTGTGAATAATCTAAGGACAAATTCAACTATTTTATGTCTTAAGTGTGAAAGTCTAAAACAGCAGCCAACAGCAACACAAACCAAGAACATGCAACACAGTTTGGTGCCCTCCAGCTTTTAGTGAGGGGGCAGTGTAACAGTAAGACAGCAGTTAGCTTTGGCTCTTCATAGTTTTATCAGTCTGTACTTGACAAAAATCCTTGCAAGTGCCTAAAGGAAGTTTGTAAGGGTGAGGTTGTTTTTTAATCCTCACGAGCTTGGAGGGAGGAAAAAAAAAGTAAATAAAAAACAGAAAAGGAACAGAATGAAGTTCTGAACAGAATGAAGTCTAGAAGTTTAGAAGTCTAGCTGTAATTAAGTTCTTAAATTGTATTTTGGAAGTAAAATTCCCAACTGCAATTTAAAAAATAAAAAAGATAATAATGGAAGAAAGTGTAACTGCCACGTTCTTCTGATGTCTCAAATCTTCAGTCCTAATCTCACTGTATAAATTAAAATTTACATTCATGCTTCACTGAGGATTCTCAGAATTTATAATCAATGAAATTATCTGACTTGACCAAAGTAGATAACAAAAAGAAGTTTGCACTAAGTCTAAGCCTAAAAATAGGGAAGGATGGAAACTGCAAAGTCTTTTTCTATTTTAGCTAAAGATATCGTCTACATTTTAATATTAATATTTGTTTTTCTGCAGCAAGCAATCCACAGTACTGCGAAGGATCCTCCTTTGGTGAAGTTCCCAATGGACAGTGGATGACACAGTCATTTGCAGACCAGATTCCAGAATTCAGTGCTGGAATGACACAGGAACAAGAAGGAAGCAGTGCATAATTGCGGTCTCTTCTTGGCTATGCATAYGTGCTGCAGTTTTAATGCAGTGATCGAGATGGGTACATTGGTTCTCCCAACTGAAGCATTTTAATAGTATTTTATCTCCTCTAGTTATTTTATTATAGTCAAAACTAAATGTGTGTGGTAGGCTTAAATCAATGAATTAGATAATTTTAAGAAACTGTCCAACCTTTTTAAAAAAAAAAAAAAAAGAATTAGCCTTTTTTTGTATATGAGTTTTATATTTAATGTATGTCCTTTCTTGCAGTTCTTTACAAACTGCATTCTCATTTGTGAAGATTTCTTTGGGGCGTTAATTTTATTCTGTAACTTGTAACATAGTAGTACCAGCAGTGGTTACACTTTTTACTGATGCATCATATATTTGGATCTCATAAACCTTTTCTATCCAGAGAGGGGAGAAGGGAAAGAATACCTTGGTCTTACATGAAGTGATGTTTTTAATAGTTAAGACTTAAATTGTGTTTTTAAATCTGCCTGTTAAGAAGGTAACATTCTGCATTCTTGAGGAATGCAGAAGGTTGTGTTCTGCAGGTGGAAGGGCTGAGTATTTTATGGCAGTAATAGAAATCTGTGTTTCGTGGCTGTACCACATCAGGACTAAGGGACCTCCTCTTCTCAAGACCCAAGATTGGGGAGGAAAATTTAGGACCTAAATATTCCAGCTGAGCTGTCTTAATTTCAGGTCTCTCTACCACTCAATTGCTTGCTCCTTAAATTCCAGTGTAAGGAACTGGAATTCTTAAAACAAACCAAAATAGTGGTTCTTGAATTCTGTGGCATTTAAATTCCCAGCCTTTTTGATGTGATTAGTCGCTTCACTACTGCTAGCAACACTATTACCAGGAGATAACCCCGTAGAAGAGATTATGTGGCAGGGACCTGCAACTCCACATTCTCTGTAAAATCCATGTAGTTATTTACATCTGCTGTGTAAACCAAGCAAATATTGTATATCTTAAACTTAGCAAAAAGATTGCAATTTGGCAGTTCTGAATGTTCGTTTCTCTTCGCTCTGGGGGCTCCAGCTCCTTACTCCCCTTACCAGCTAAAGATTATGTTAAAGGTAAGAGGAGCTGTTCCATGAATGAGAAAGTAACTCTGGAAATTACAGCTTTCTTCTTTAAAATACACCCTCTTTGATGTGGCCAGTACATGACCGAGAAAGAGAAGAGGTTCTGTGCGTGTGCTGCATCATCATCATCTTTCCCTCTTCTAATATATGAGGACAAGATGAAGTAAAAGCAATAAGCTGATCGAAACTTAGACGTTTYGATGAACTTATGAGAGTAGGTGCTTCACATACTTGAAAACCAGATACAAGCAGTATCTCTACCATCCAGGCTGGGCAGAGGTTCCTGTACCAGTGTTTTTATCCTTTCCTCACAGCCACTGACAGCGGAACCCCACTGAGTGTAGCCAGTTAAAGCAGATTTTAACCCTGCTGCAGCAAATGTTGCTGAGCTCACACTCTGTCAGCCTGGCATGAGGCAGGTATGATGTTTACAGTTTTCTTCCCAAATTATGTGTCTTAAATCAACAAAGTGTGCATTATGAGTTTGATTGTGTTTATTAGCTTCAGCCTAAAGCTGTTCCGTATGTTGTCAAAAAGGTAGAGGATTTGTCTTGTCTGTTATTTAAGGTGTACTGTATCACGTATCACTGTTTACATGGACATTTTCCTGCAGGTGCTCAAAGTATCTTGTATCAGGGATTTGTTACAACTCTTATTTTATTTTTCAACAAAGTTAAAAGCATGTAACTAGCACTGCTGAGTAGGTACCACAGTAGTATATAACTACTGTAAGGGTTTTGGTTTTTCCTTTTTATTTTGAAGGGAAAGGTCTCTCAAGACACCTACTGTATATCTATGTATACAGCTATCTATGTATAAAGTATGGTTAAGTGTACAATGACAGTTTCACTAAATATTTTATTTCTGTGTGTACTCCCTCAGAATTGGTGCTCTTCTCTTTACAGTAATGCAGAGGTTCTTAATCTGTCTTAAATCTACCACTGATTGCCAATAAAATCAGGAACTGTGTGTTAGAGTGTGATTTTTGCATCGTGGTAGCAGGGCTCTGTGGCCAGCGCAGGGTCTGTCTGATACTGATCCCGCTCCGGGGCACAGAGCGACACGCTGCTGCCCAACTACCTGCAGGCAAGAGGCTCCTCTTAATAGAAATGCTGCCCGAATTTTAATCTCAGGCTGCTTACGTTGGGCAAGAGGACTAAAGGCAGCTTGTCTGTAATGTTGCAAGTATTTTCTGTGTAGATTTTTCTAGCAGCAGCTATTAGTGATATTTATAAAGACCTTACCTTAAAACACATCATGTCTGTGACTGTCTTTCACCTCTGTAAATGTTTAATGAAAGTATTTCTGTGTCAAGTAAATTTGTTTCTTCACCTTACTTGAAAGTCAAGAACGCAGAGCTAAGTGCATAGCTACTGCTGCACCCATAAGCACATATAATTGATCATCTCTTATAGCACTATTTAACATGCTTTGGGTTTTGTGTTTTTTAAACCGATTAATTAAGCAATTACCACATCCTGCACCCTGTGGTGTATGMATCCATCAAGTAGGTTCCAGTATCAGCTCTCAGGACGAGTTAATTTGAACTTCCCTGAGGGGTCAGGAATGAACCAGTTTTCCCAGAGATCAGTGTGAACACTAGGGTAGTCCCAAGGTTTGTATCTTCCATTCCAGTGAAGTAATTTAGCATCCTGAAGAAAATGCTCTGAATAGCGGGTATCAGGACTCCAGCCTGCACAGGTACACAAAAGTAATGTTTCAACAGGGGAAAAGACACTACACACTCATGTTAAAAGGAAAAAAAAATCCAACTTGTGAACTAATTAGTAGGGTTTATTAGTAGTATAAACAATAAATTGTATGGTAATAAATTAGGGTTTTTTTGAACTTCATCTCAACCTTTTTTTTTTCCCTCAATTAGAAATATCAAATCATTTTGTTTTTAACATTTCACCATTTTAGCAGATCTGGGCCTTAAAAATCCTCATACTAGTTTTAATAAAGCCTAATATTAATTTTAATAAAACAAACTAAAACTTTCCAGCTAGATACTACCTTCTGACTAACTACTGCCACCATGCCAGGGCTCCCATAGTCTTTCACACTGTCGACTGAAAAAGTGTCCGGTGTCACTCTCAGCTTTGTCCTGGTAATTTCTTTTTTCCTACCTTTTTAAATCCAATTACATTACTATTAGGTATTTTCTTGCAGGGCTGCAATCACTTAGTTTACTTGACTTCTAAAGCTATTTGTGTAACACTCCCCAACCGCACTCCGCACTATGTTGAAAACACAAGAGTATCAGAAGGAAAGAAATAAGCAAAGAGCACAGACTGTGGGTCTGAGCTGCAAAGTAACATACTGAATGAGAGCAATGCAAAGGTCCCTATGGGAACCTTAGCACCTCCCACTTTATTTAGTGCTGATGGCAAATGGTGGAAAGTTAAACTTACCCAGATGCCTGATGTGCCACATGGGATTAATAGTCGAATGCTTCCCATAAAATACAATCAGCATTGGGGAGGTGGCGACACCCCCGCCAAGGGTGCTGCTGTACAGATTCTCCCTGCAAAGGGAAAAAGAAGAAATGACCAAAAAAGCCACAATCAAATTTTTTTTTTTTTTTTTTTAAGTATAAAATCACTCATAAATGCTCTGGCAAAATTCAAAGTGAATACACTGTTCTTCAGCATAACCCTTTCTAATGCTGCTGAGTGCTGGTATTTTTCAGCTCCAGTTCCTATCGAGTAAACCATTGCTATCAAACACAGCCTCATCCAACAAGGAGGAAATATGGGCAGAAGCTGAGAAAGGCTTAGAGGATGCAGCATGAAAAGGCAGAAACTCCTCTCAAAGAAATACATGTTTTTACCACTCATTAAGCAACTTGCTTCACTGTAGTTTGAAAAGCCAGCTAAAAAAAAGAATCTCTAAAACAAATAATCTTTCTAGCTACAATACAGTAGTATGTACGGATGGTTTCAAAATATAAAGCAAAACGGGGTAAGCCATACAAGCAGAGTGAGAGAATAAGCATCTGTCTTGTCATTCACGTATGGATCCTTTGTGTCTTCCTCCCTTTGTGCAGTTTGTGAAAACAAGAAATGGATGCAATCCAAAACCACAAGCTGTTCAGGTTCAATTTAGCGTTACTAAACTTAAGCTTAAGCCTGTGCAGGGAAAGGAAATAAATGTCAAATTTTGGATATGGTTTGACAGAGAACTGACATAAAATATGAACCGTGATTGTTCCACTGTTTTCATGACCTATCCATGGTCAATGCCCAAACCATATGTTTTATGTCAATTCCGGTCCAACTATGGAGAAAGAAGCATTTTCTGCTGGTATTTAAGAGATGTAACGCCCATTTACAGTTCAGCCAGCCCTGCAATAGGAGGAACCGCACACAAACACCCACAGAAACACCTCATCCTCTCTGCAGCACCTTGGCGAAGGGGAGAGCGYGGCGAGCACAACCAGCCACGCAGCTGGTCACCCGCAGCAGGGACCTGGTGGTCCTGGTGGCACTCAGGAGTGCAGCTGCCCTGTGCGGGCACACTGACCTCCCAGTTTAGAGATCTCAATTGTTTAGAGTTACTAACATTTAAGTTAATATTTAAATAATTAAGTATTTAAGAATTAAAAAAAAAAGATTGCAAGCAGTGCTCTGAAAGTATTGTTAAATTACAAAGCCAGACTCCTATACATACTCCACATTTCTTTGCATCCACTTTTCCAGCTGCTTTGTAATCCGTTGATGCTTCCATTCGGTCATGTTAGCAACAATGACTCCAGGATTAAAGGAGCAGGTGCTGGGGCTGATGCCAAGATCTCTAATGGCTTGCTTTCTGTAGTCCAGAAATCCCATGTATGTGTTCTTGGAAGAAAAAAAAATATATAAATCCTCTCTTAATATCTATATGGATATGAGTAGATGTATCTATGTGTCTCTCATACACAGAGACTGTGRGCTCCCAGATGTGCTTTTCTGGGTTCTGATTACCTGTCTGGATTTCCTTACAAGACCCAAGCTGAAAGACGGGATACTCCTAATTCCAACGTTGCTTATTCCACAATGCTGATCCACACGGGCTGGACAGRGCTCTTTCCCCACCACATTTTTGCCCTTCTGTAGTTTACTCTACATGATGTAGCATCTCACTTGCATGGGAACTCAGTGACAATTTCATGTAATTCAACTCAAGAATTAGCCTTCAGACACTATTTTCCTGAGCTTCACTGCAAACTTCACAGAACCACAGACAGGTTGAAGTTGGCAGRGACCTCTGGAGATCATCTAGGCCACCCCCGCTGATAAGGCAGGGTCACCTCGAGCAATCAAGGATTGTGCCCAGGTGGCTTTTGAATTTCTTCAAGGAAGACTCCACAACTCCTCTGGGCAACCTGTTCCAGTGCTCTGTCATCCTCACCCTAGGAAAGTTTTTACTCATGCTCAGACAGAACTTCCRTGTTTCAGTTTGTGTCCATTGCCTCCTATCTTGTCACGGGGCACTGCTGGGAAGAGTTTGGCTTCATCCTCACTACACTCTCTCTTCAGATACTTACATACATTGATAAGATATGAGAGATGCTCTTTATCACCATAGCAGTCTTTTGCTGGGCTCCCTCCAGTAGCTCTGTCTCCCTCTTGTCCTGGGGAYCCAAAACTGGGCCTGGTACTGCAGGTATGGCCTCACCCTCTGTCCACCTGTCAGGCAGTTCTCAATGCACCTCACTGTCCACTCATCCAGCTCACACTTCCTAAGCTTCCCTGGGAGGATGTTATGGGAGACAGTGTCAAAAGCCTTGCTGAAGCCAAGGTAGGCAACATCCACTGCTCATCTACCCAGCCAGCCATCCCACCACAGAAGGCTATCRGGCTTATTAAGCATCATTTGCCTTTGGGGAATGCATCCCAACTACTCTTATCACCTTCTTACCCTTCTCATGCTTAGAGATGGCATCCAGAATGAGCTGTTCCACCTTTTTTTTTTCCAGGGATTGAGGTGAGACCTGTAATTCCTTATTAAWTTGACTCATACAAATCTCATGCAATGACTTCATTAGATGCTGCATAAATGCTCATGATCTTCTGACAGCAAAATGGACTTAGTAAAATACCAAACATAATGTGGTAGAATCCAAAGATCAGGTGAGGTTTAAACTATCACAGGAAACAATTATGCAGAGCATGGTATTATTACAGAACTATCAGGGAAAGCAGTTCTCTTTGACTACCTGTAAAACCATTCCATATTTATCCCCAAAAGATCAACTTTTCACTTTGGAGAAAATGTGTAAAACTGTTATGGGTGTCGGTAAATATAGTTACGATGAGGCTTTGAAATGATGTTTTACCTGCATCCCTACACTTCTAACCATCTCGTGTGTAGAAGGCAGATCACAGTCATCTGAGAAAGCAGCAGCGTGTCCAGGAGCTAACTTAGTTTCGTAGAGTTCTTGGATGTCACCTGAYAACAGGAAAGTCAAAAGCATAAGAATAAATCTGTTTCACTGTCACACACTTAGGATAACTTCCCTTTTCCTGTGTTACTCATAAACTTATGGATTTCAGGGGATACTGGGGTGTCAAAGGCGGCTGAATTTTGCAATATAGCAGAGCCTCCCGCATGGACCAGCCTTTTCCCAATGCTGTTGTGCCTGCACCTCCCATCCAGAAAGCTGCATTCCCAGCACTGACAAATAAGCCCTGGCCAATCGAAACACTCTGGCCACACAGGACCATCCCCATCCAGCTTGGTTGGCCGCCCAGCTCCTTGCAGATGATGCAGGGAAACACTCGCCACATGCCACCTTCTTCATCTGCCGACTAGCACATAGCCATGATGTGAGGGAAACTGTGAGAGAAAACATGTGGAAAGGACGGTGCYGCCACTGAGCTGCTCCAGCAACTAAGGGCATGTGCAGCCATGAGCACTGCTCGTCCCTGTCTTGGGTCACAAATGAAATCCATCATCTTGGGAGGCTACACATGGCCCTTGAGCATGAGCTGAGCACTCCCATAGCTAGGCCACAATAAAGTAAAGCTGCTGCCACTAGGAAACCTCAGTAAAGTAACTGGAAACATCTCCCACACTGCAAATACTGGAAATGCTCTTTCTGAAATAAGCAGAAAACATTTCATCAGTCATATTTCATCAGAATATTTCAGTTGACTGAAAATCTCAAGATAGGATTCTTGGCCCTCCAAGAAACATTGTTTCCTCCTGATTCTAAACTGCTTCTGCTTTTCAAAACATAAATTACAAGAGAAAGAAAAACATGAGCACACATAAAACACTGGGATTCAGTATGTTTAATCATCACTGCTTTGCAAAAGCAATTGGCAAAAAAAAAAAAAAAATCTGCAAGTTAAAATCTGAGATTCACATTCACTCCTTACTGGGTCAAAACTCCAATCTCCCTGTCACTTCCCYGTCCATCTGATAGAGAGCAGCCTTGTGTTACAGACACTACCCGACCCGGGAGCCACTGTGGACACAGAGGGCTCTGCCTCTACCCTCCTACCCTCGGCTTCATCCCTTTCTGCTAGGCCCTGGGAGGTGGCCAGGCTGACTGAAGCAGAGGAAAACAATCAAATAAATAAATATATAAATATACTATCTTCAGAMTGTACCATCAGCATTTCAGGCATCCACATTCTGCCAGGGGAGCCAGCTGCATCAGCTTCACTTTGCAGCTGCACCAGGGCTAGATGGGGCACAAGGGAGGGCACAGGAGCTGCTGGGGGAGCAAAGGGAGCACTTCTGTGAGCAGCAGCCTGCCCCAAACACTGCTGTGGGACTACAGCTCTAGCCTGGGACTTCCCAAGCACCATCACTGACMTAAGGTGACACCCCGAAAAGGAAGTCTCTGCCTCCCCTCTGCTCCCAGCCACTTTCTGTTTCTTTTGTGCTGAAATTCTGATTTGAATCACAGAGGGATAAAGGCCAGAAGGGACCTCCGGAGATCACCCAGCCCAACCTCCCTGCACATGCAGTGAAACCCTACCAGAGAGCTAAGCTGGATCAAAAGCAACCACATTTCTAGCAAAAGTCTGTACAGGAGGAGAGGATGCTGCGGGTGGCTCTAAGTGCTTGGGAAATCACAGCATAAGCAAAGATTTTAAACACTCTTTCRTAAGAGTTAAGTATTGCTGTTACCCACTGTTGGCAGTCAGAATAACAGAAGCAAAAAGGCCAGGTTATGAGCCGAGCACTGGAAACAAATATGTGTATATATATATATATATATTTATTTATATTTATATATTTATATATATATATAAAAAACAAAGTCCATTTTATTCTTCCCCGAAACTCCATGTTGAAGAAATTGTATTATGAAATTTATCATAAAAGAAAACAAGATGAGGCAGAGCGGTTTAACTAAACTTTATCAAGCAGACAACAGTGGCCCCTTTGAGGGTAATGTTCTGAAATCTGTCACTAAAGAGATAAAAGACTAAGGAAAACCGCAGAAAAGTGGCAGGGAACAAAATAAGATTTGTGTCCAGCATAATTTCACTGATCTTAATGTTATTAAGTAAAGATCCATTGAGGCCAAAAAGTTTGTTTGGATAAGGAACGAGGATAAGTACAATAAATTTTCATTGGAACCCTATTTCAAGGTTTAACAAGCACATGTAAAATGCTCTTGTTWGCCATCTTAAAAGCAAGAACAAGACAGAAGTGAGCTAAAGAAATATGATAAAGCAAGGGAAGACAACAACTCTCTAGAGAAGTACAAAAATACACTGAGAAAGAAAGCTGCGGGAAAGAAAATGGAAAGAAATTCATCTTTAAAAATGACTGTATCTCTAATGAGATTTTTTTCTATTGAAATAAAATATTTTTTCAGGATWTGAATGCTCTCCCTTGCAAAGGAAACTTTGAAAGCTTTGATGGGCTTTCAAAGCCCAGCCTCCATGGGGAGGAGCTCACCTTCCCGTAAGTTGCTACTGAGGGTGAGCTGAAGGTGCTCAAAATCACACGTYCAGGACTGAGAATTTTTTGAGCAAACTCATCTTGCTCTTAAGAATAAACAACTATTCTCAATAATGCACTGCTAGCATTTGTAGAAGTTCAAATGCAACAGCAAAGCCAAGTCATGCATTTAATGATAAATAGCCTATTAGTAAAATCTATTATATCTCTCAGCAACTGACTAAATCCAATTATGAATGCAATTATTTCTATATGAAAGCCTATACATGCCATTTTGACCAAAATTAAACATTTAAAAGATATTTGAAGATAAAAACGTTCTTCAGACTTCCCTGTAAACAAACAGRTAATTCATATGCTCCTAGAAATTGCCCCAGTTTCCATTATATATTTCCAAGTAACTGTAAACTGCTTAGCTTTTCTTTTAATTCCATCAGAAACTGTTTTTGTGGATGACATCTTACCTTGCACAATGACATCATCATCCAAGTATATGACTTTCTCGTGTTTCTGGATAAGCAAGGGGAGGTAAAATCGAACGAAGTTCAGCTATAAAGACAAAGAAAAAGTCAGGACTAAATGGTGAAGCAGTTTAATGCAGAAATCTCAAGCTTCTGTCATTATATTCACATACAGTTTTGGTTTCTCTCTTTGAGAGCTAGTATCACTTGCTTTCACTCCCCTCAGTTTAACAGTATCTTGAGTCTTGAGTCCATTTCCTATTATTTCCTATTATATTTACTATGACCCTTATCAAGCAGCCCAATGCAATTGCGTGGGTTTTGTTGTTGTTGTTGTTGTTTTGCAATGTATTTCATACAAAACACTTCAAAATGAACACAGTAATCACTTCACTCTGGAGGAAGGATTTGACTGGTGGCACAGAGGTGAAACAGTAAAGTCTGCAATAAGAATAGCAGAGGGAAAGGAGATGAGGAGGGTAAGAACAATCATACTCATTCAGGGCATTTTACTCAGTATCTGTGGTTCTTAGCAAATTCTCAGAGAAAATTAAGCACAGGGGAAGCATAGAGAAATGCTGCTTCAGGAACTCTCATAATTTTCATCTATTTTCAGCTCAAGGCATTTCTCAAAACAAATGTGGTCTGACTAAATGAAAATCTCAGCCCCCAGTGCATCCCAGAATGGCTGAGGTTGGAAGGGGCCTCTAGAGATCATCCAGTCCAACCCTCTGCTCCAGCAGGGACACCCAGAGCACAGGGCGGCATCCAGGCGGCTTTGGAAGACCTCCAGAGAAGGAGACTCCACAGTCTCCCTGGGAAGCCTGTGCCAGAGCTCTCTCCCTCTCACAGGAAAGAATCTATGTACATTTTTTACATTCAGAAGGTCTTTCATCAGGAAGCTCTACCTATTGCACAAAAAAAAAAAAAATCCCATGCAACATGTCTCAACTGCTTTGACTGGGACTCCTACTAATTTAATTTAATGGCAGTTAGCTCTTGTATTGTAAGACACAGTGAGCAATCATCCCCTATTCACACTTCCGTGCCATTCAGTTTTGTAGATCTCTTATTTTTTGAGCTCAAAGTCATATTTCCAGGTTGAAAATTTTTAATCTAATCAGTCCAGTTCCTTGTACAGAGTATTTTTCCACATATTGGATATGTAGAAGTTCAGAAAAGGGTAATGAATGTAAACCTTCTTAACAGATTTCAGCCTTTTCCAGAAGTATGTATCCTTCTGAAGAAAGGAGATTAAAACTGCACATAGTATGCAGGGCAGGGACAAATCATGGATTTATATTGTGGTAAAATAAAGTTCTCTTTTTAGCTCCCAAATCCTTTCCTAAAAAATTCTGACAGGTGATTTGCCTTTTCTTGTTCTCTACTGCAGCTTCCTTGGATGCTGGAAGTTCTTGATTCTATCAGTCCATGGTGATAACAGCCAGGCAATAACATTTAGATCTGCCTTTACCCCCTGAATTAATCCTACAGAGCTGCAAAATGCAGCCAGCTCAGCATCATGGATGCACAAAGAAAGTTTTTAAATCTTTGCTCTGACACAGTGTGAACATACTCTTACAAGTCAAAATACATTAAAAACACCGCATTTATGCTACCAAAAAGACAGACAAGCTGCAAGGAGCTTGCTACAGTACATGTTTTCCTTTTGAGCAAGGGCTCTGGATCAGATATGTCTTCTCTGGAGTCACACCTCTCCTCTACAGTGGAATGGGGATCTAGGATATTTTAAAGCCTGTAATGAACATTAAAACCCTGTAAAATGGCTCAGTGGTGTCTGCTTACTCACCGGCTGCAATAGCTCAGGCCGTGACGCATCTTGTCTGATTTTTCCTTTTAGTACCATTGGGTTGAACTCCACAATCTTATATTTTATTTCTTTCAATTTAGAATTTTCAATCCATTTCCTGTGAAAGAAAAGAAACAATAAAATATTACTTTGTTTGGCAAGTATTTCTAGTATTAAATGCATGGACTCGTAAGATAATAATGGACCTTGGAAGCTCATTTGATCTATCCCACCCCAAAACAGAATCAATTATGTTTAAAGCTGCTTGCTGCATGCATTCATTCATTTAATAAGGTTTTTTTTTAAAAAAAAAAAAAAAAAGATGCCCAAAACTGCATCTATTGCCTAATCAACCCATGCTTCACCATCCCTAACATTAAAAACCGTTTTCATAACCTTTCCTGCTACAACTAAAGACCATTTTCTTCTTAACCTATCTTCTGTACAAGTAAGCTTTCTCTCTTTTGCACAGTCCTTGAAAATGATTGCCAAATCACCTTCAACTTGATTTCCTTTAGGTTAAGCAAACTCAAATATTTCATTTTTTTCCACAAATTTATTCACATCACTGTTTGTTGTTTTCTGTCCTTTCTTTCCTGAAAGACATACAAAACTAAATGCCATGCTTTTGCTGATGTGCTGATGTCAAGATTTCAAAAAAATTCCTTAGTTATATGTTCACATGTATATGCCTTTGCCTTTTTGCATCACTGTCATCACTTCTGTAATCAGTCATAATGCCATAGTTTTTTAAAGAACTTATTTAAAGAACTATTACTGAATTCTTTCTTCACCCTGAGCCGATACAATCAGCTACTCCTACCTAAAGTTACTGCCTTAACATTATTCCTACTGAATTTCAATATGTTTTCAGCTCATTTTTCCATCTCATTACAAGTAGTTTGTTCTCAGCTCTTATCTGGTTCATCAACACACCTGCACTCTCGCCAGCTTCATAGAGCTGACTGTGGATTCACAGAGCATACTCTCCACTCTGTCATCCAAGTTACTAACAAACTAGCCTGGAAAAGCTCCCTGTGGGACCCCACTCATTACTTCTTTTTCATGTAGACACTGAAACTGTGAGTACAAGGCCCATATACGTGCAGTAAGTCAGAGGTGAGAACTCAGAAGCCTAACTCTCTGCTTTCGTTTTGATTCACACCTTCCTTCTCTCTAGAGAAGACAGACTCTAGACTCTATTTTCAAATTTTAACACTCAAAGATGTTTTTGTTACGTGTTACTTTGGGCCTCTATTTATATATTTATACCGTTTCCTCTTGCCTGAGATTAGCAGCAGGCTTTTCTGCTCCTTAATTCAAGGCAGCTCTCCATGTGAGGGATAAGCACAGAGCCACAAAGCAGGACTGTGACAAAAAAGCTTGGACACACCATCATCTTACTACAGGCTTTTTCTTCTGCAGCTGCACTACAGATGGCAGAGAGACATAGGTATGGGCATGGCCTGGCTATTTCATGTCCCTTTATGCCGGTCAGCCCCTTAAGTAAGGCAAAAATGTCCTTTTTCCTAGATGTAGACCACCCTGGGGACAGCTATCAATAGCACTACTCCAAAAAAAAAAAAGGGAGAAATGTTTTCCTGAAAAGCACTCCGACCTCTACATACCTCTGCTGAGGAGAACAACAGCCTGCTCCCAAGCCCAGGAGGAGGTCATGTACATACCGAATGTGTGGGATGCTGTTCTTCAGGCCAACCACGTAGAACAAAAGGTTCGCCTCGCTGTTGCTGTAGATGCTGCTGATGGCTGCTATAGCGGCGCCCATTCTGCCCGCAGCAGCACAGATTACGATAGGAATTTCTTCCTCCATTTCCTCAGGACTCTCCAAATCAACTACAAGCATCAAAATCACACATTATTATAGAGAATCAAGCATCTCTTTATATGATATATAAATATGGGTCACATGAACAAGTATGAAGTCCCATAAGCAGTGGAGTCATATCAGAACTTGCCCATTTCCTTGCCACATTCCATCCCCACCTGGAAAGACACACTGTCAATCCAGAGGCACATGCATGCTGACTGGATAGATAGATGCCTCCAGAGCATGTAACAACTCAATTCTCTGAATGTTTTCCTCATCTGGGGTGACAAATCAGTCTGTCCTCCGTGAAGCTGCTTATTTACATTAAACCTGTAGGAGTCACAACACCTTTGACACGTCTACTTCTCAGTCAGTCAAATAAATTTAAAGTGAACAGTAAGTTCCAAAACTGCCAAGAGAAAGAAATAAGTAGAGAACACAGTCCAAATGCATGAGCTTAACTGCTTTAGGAAGCAAGACAGACAGAAGCAGTGCAAACATTTGTAATAGCAGGAAGCTGCTAATGATGAATAGGAAAAAGTCTCTAGAAATACTACTGGTAACAGTTAATGCTAAGGAAGATTTTTCCCCTAACAGTGATTGCAGTATGGAGCTTACATGGATAAATCTGTACAGGTTGAAGCGTGACTGTTAACCTCGTAAGAGCCACCACAAAACTATAATGGAATAAAAAAATTTATAAACAAAATAACAAAACAAAATTTGGAACGGAGAATAAGCTATTAACCTTATTAATATAATGTTGCATAGTAGTCCAACTATAGTTCAACTCTAACAGATTTCTGTTACTACAGATGTTCCAGCAAAAACCTCTGCTGTAGATTATGTTGAGGTTTGACGATCTATCTGAAATGAACTGATAGGCCAACCGCATTCCCAAAAGGGCAACTTCTGGTCAATTTTTGTTATCACTTGGAAATCTGTTGTTCCACAGAGCTTCCATTTACATCAGTGACAGACGAATTAAAAGAAAATAGAATCTCACTTCTCAGTCATTACTATAAATATTCTAATCGAGTTCTGCATCCCAACCCATTTGCAACAGCATAACTAACCCAGCTACTGCCGGGCAAACACTAATTCTTAAGAAGAACCCATTGCTCAGAGGAAGCAGTAAGGAATACAGCACAAGTACATAAATGAAATGGAAGTTATTTACCTGTTTCATTCTTTAACGAAGATGGCACGTTGTGAACTTTGTTGTACAGAATGGCACACACAGTTAAAACAAGAAGTAACAGTAAGATCTGGTTAACTGAAGCAAAAGGGAGAATTCATTAATAATCTGTGTAAGAGCTGAGTACCAACCATCCACAAAGTCATATTTTTCTAAGTACGCAGTTGCTAAATGCCATATTCTGTATTTACTGTTTTTAATCACATTCTCCTCTCACTTGATATTTGATCAAATTTTAAAAATGTAAAATTTTTGTAAGGTATATTTAGAAACATAGCAGTATCTCTCCCCCACTGCAATTATTTCTAGATACCTAATTATCAAGGATCATTTGCTTGCTAAATCAATAAGTACCCAATACATAAGAGCTATCCATACCAGGAAATGCACATCTTTGTGAATATTATTAGGCACCTATAATTTTCTTTTCTTGGCTCCTTTGTTGCCTATCACCAAGAGACTTCAAGAATCATTTTTACCTAGTCCTCTCCGTCTCACACACTTCCTTGATAAATTTTCAACTGCTAAAAAAAAAAAGTAGTTGATTTAAATATTTGGATGCATACTTGACAAAAACTCGACAATAATAAATCCAGCATGCCACTGGACATAGGAACGTTCTAAAATGTTTAGAAACACATCCACATTTTGACAAAAGTGCTTTAAGTAGTAAAATCAAAACATGCAGAAAAGGAAAGTCCTCACTGTATATTACGATTTGCAGTCCCTACCAGACTACACTGTGCAAGCTGAAGTCAAACAAGAGGATGAATCAGGACAGCTCAGAGGAGAGGCCAGGTAAAGAATGCATTGTCATTGTTGTCAGTTACTTCAGTGCTTTCCTTCTGACCACTTTGCTACTTCTCTACCAGCATAAACACATTTAAAGTGTGCAAAAGAACAAACGGACAACATTTCCAAGCATTTGACTCAAAAGGGCCAATTAGCCAGACATGGCCATGAGAACAAAATGAGATATTTACATATGCATCACTACAGTGAGATGTGAATCAGCTGAGAGGCCAGGCATTAACCTCATGGAGGACTTGAGTGCATAACTGAAGGCACATATTTGTCCATAAAAACAGAAGAGTTAGCCAACAAAGCAACCATCCGTTCATATGCTTCGTACACTAAAGCAGTGAATAATCTTAAATTAATGGATTTTGTAGCCATTCTTATCTGGTCATCTATTTAACAGCAGAAGGTTTATCAGTATACTTGAAGTTAAGCAAAATTTTGCAGAACTAGAGCTATAAATTTGCATGTAACTATTACAGAAGTTTTAAGACAAATTACATGYGACATCTACGTCCTGTTTCATAGATATATGAGCTCAATGAGTATTTAAACATTTTTAATCTTTCTTACTTTTCTTCAGAAGAGCCATGTGTTCTTTTGGATCTGTGGTAAAAAGGAAAGAAAAAGGGAAAGGAGGAAAAAAATTATGAATTACAGCAGTGAATAGCAATTAATGATTTTAGTGGTATGGTTTAGGGATATGGTTAATTTTACTGTTGACTCMGTAAAAGAACTGAATTCCAACTTTGTAAATAATATTCTCAGAATAAATAACTCTAATATTCCAGACCACAGTCATAATACATTTTACACTATTTGATATGTTGAAATGAATAGTCTTTTAATAAACTCAGCACAATCAACTACACCAGTAAAAACTAAGATCAAAAAAAAATCTAAAACAATGTACAAGGAACTACTTACAAACTGCATCTGTGGGTATTTTAATACGTTTACATTTATGCCTGATCTCCCCTACATTACAAAAACAATCACAAATACTACATCTTATGCTGAGATATTCAAAAAATCTTCCATTTGAGCAGTGCCTGTCAGGATGTGAGAAAATTACAGAGCAGTAGTAAAAAGGTTTTCTAACAGTAGCATCATTCTAATAAAAATACCAGAAAGAGGAGAGTTCATGTAAAGTGGCTACCATTTAAGCACATTATTTGTGATGCTGATGAAAACTAGGTTGCCTTCCCTACAACTGTACTTCTAAACAATGCCTTAGAGTGCCTAGGACTTTATGCCTTAGAGGAAAGAACATAATACCTAAACCACGCAATTATGGAAAACCACAACATTTGCTGGAAGCAACATTAATGTTTCCCTTTTGCTCTTTGACACCACAAACCTAAAAGAAAACTGACTAGGAACCTGTTCCAAAAATCAGGGACTCGGGTGATTACAGAAATGCCACCAAGTATCATTCCCAGCAACCTAAATATTCCCTCAGCTTTAAAAAGAATTTTAGCAGAAACACAAAGCAGAAGATGGAAGATGCAAACACTTGCAGCAGGAAGRAGTTCTCAGACTGACCCAGCTGCAAATGCTCCCACAGCCGTGTTCATGTTTACATGAGACAAGGACACCGTCCTTCTCCTGCCCTAGACCTCCCTGGTTAAATTCTGATTGCAGGTTTAGCCAGTCCACACTTCTCAGTATCCTTTCTCTTGCCGCCTTCTTGCCTCCGGACTGCAGCAATGAAGGAAACTCACAGCTGGGAGCAGAGTTTGTTTCAGCAGAATTTCTTTGATGTTCTCACCTTCACAAGCTTAAACAAACAAACAAACAAACTGAACTGAAGCTGCAGGAAAGCTAGAGATTTGCGAGAAGCTAACAAAAAGAAAAAAAGTTTTGTTTTGTTTTCTGGGGGGAAGGGAACAGTGTGGTCTGCCCTGCTGTATACAGGGCAGCTGTATATCACAGCTGTRTATTGCTACCATTTTTTCCAGTGTTTTCATACACAAAGATAAGCATATATTGCCAATGCCATGCATATATAAGGTCTATTCTGATTCCTTGCACACAAATCAGCAAGAGTAGGGCAGCGAGAATTCTTGAAAGCTGAGTCACAAAAAGAATGACTCAGTTTCATTGGTTAATGCTTAAACTGAACTGCTAAATGAGTCTCCACTTTCTCTAACAATTAAATGACAAAAAACTACTACAGAGCTAAGATGTGACTTTGTTTACAAAGCACTTACATTGCATCCATTCAAGTGTCCCCAAAGATGACCAAGCAATGAGAGTGAGAAGGAGGCTATTTTTGAGAGAAATTGTTCTCACATCTGCAGTGCTTCTCCATGCCCCAATATGCCCTTCTCTCCATGTGGCATTAATTTGCATAAATAGGAAATCAGGGTATTGGTCAAAAGAACCGTTTTGAAAAACAATCCTCTCATGTTGCACACAAATGCTGTCTTCTTACATGTTTAAACAGTTTACTCAGGTAACAAAAGAAACCCCTGTACTCTGGGAGTAATCATCTAGCCTCATTTAGGCTAAGAGCATTTCCCACATATTTCAGTGTATAGTTTCTTTATTAATGTTTGCAAGGATAACCACAAATAAAACTGATGGCCACTGCAAGAGGAAATTTGCTTGGTCAGAGCTGCAAGGTATTTTTAGAGGTGATTAAACCAACATAAAGCACATCACACTTTAAAGTTTAAGATCCAAACCCAGAAAGACTCTCATACAGCAAAACTGCAAGTTCTAAAATGAAAAAGTTCCTAAGTCTCAGTAGATCAGAAGGATTACTCACTGACTTTTTAGGGAAACAGTAGAATATTTGTTCTTCTGCAAGTATTTCCCCCTTTTTCCCTCTGCTCCTGGCACCTGGCAATCCCTAACTCGACTGCCAAACGCTGCAACAAAACGAGGGGCTGCAGAAGGGAAAGCTCAGAAACAGTGACATTACTTCTCAGATATTTCCTGTTTAATTAGGCTCTTTACCTTTTCAAGCAGCACAGTGTTGGGAGTTGTCTCTCTCCTGAAGAGCTGTGGAGCTATTTACTGGGATCCTAGGTGGGCCACAGCAGTCAGCTTGCTTGCCAGAGCTTCCTCACCCATCGTCCTCCTCCACAGCACCCTGCGCAAGGGCCTTACTGGGCACTGCGGCACTCTAAAAATTCAGCTCCTTTCTCAAACTTTGCACAGTTTGCTTTGGAAGTTGTGCAAGTTTTCTTTTCCTTCTCTGCTGCAGAGGCGCAGCTCAGAGCCCGGACGCTGCAGCGAAGGAATGAGAGCCCATAAACCACTTCCAGATGTGCCGAGCACTGATGCGGCCTTAGGTCTGGCAAACAGGCCTTCGGGCCTCATCTAGCAGATTGCAAACAAATCCCAGAAGGAAAAAAAAAAAAAAAAAGTCTTAAGGGGGTAGGGGGAGAGAAATAAGTTGTTCCAGAAGTTCCTTCAACAGCCTACTTGCAGGTTAAGTTTCTAGCCATTATTTATGGTGTATGTGAACAGATAACCAGTGTTTAAGCGCCAAACAACAACATGCGTAAAGTCCAGACCAAGCGGAGATGTTTTTCCAGTGTCTGTTTAGGGAATTCTTCCACATAAAATACTATGAGAAACTTGCAAAATTGAACTCCGGACATGTATTCCTGCCTGCATTTCCTCATTTCCAGAGCATTGAGAACTCGGGGAGAACTTGGATTAAGATAACGAGAACATATAGATATTCTGCCACCTAAACACCTTGGAATGTTTTTGCAGTTTTATTTCCATATCACTCCTTTTATTTCATAACACCTCCCTCCCTTCTGTGTGATAAGTGATAAAATACTCCTTTATCACAAGGCTTTCATGAATACTAGAAATAAATACTAACAAGCTTCAATTCTAAACTCCTCTTCATGTTTTTGAGTGTGATACAGTGCAAAACTTATGAAGCGAAGTTTATAAAAACTGTATTTTTACACTTTTTTGTTTTATTCTTGAAACACTTGAGGGACTTGAAAACGTGGATTTCCAACCATATAACTCAAACACGCCTAGACTATATTATCTGGGTCGGATTTAGCGTGCAAGTTTATCTGTTGCAGAACTGCTTACAAGAAGGAAAAAATGCAAAGGAGGGGTAAGTATAAGCCTCATGCAGCAGCAACAGCTATCAACTATGACCTTTTTTTGGGGGGGGGAGGGGCTATTCCATCACTTTGGGGTTTTTTTTTTTTTTT